AAAGATCATGCTCTGTCCCCAAGGCTGGCTTGTATCAATACAGGCTTCCAAGAGTCTGGGAGGAGGACAGCTGAGGTCTGAACCAACCTGCTGCCTTCATACCCCAGGAGCTCCCCAATCACCCCCCTATACTCCCAGGCTTCCAGATGCCAGGGCCTCAATCTGCTTTCACCTCCTTTTAACAAACGCCCCATGCCAAGGCCCCCACCTAGGCTTCCATCCCCTTGGCCCATGTCCTCCCCATCAGCGGGCGCTGTTCCGGGACAGCCAGCCCCAGAGCTGCTGCTGCCACCTGCACTCCAGCACTCAGGCACCTGTACTGAGGACAGGAGAATACTTGTCACCTGGGGTAGACACAGAATGCAAAGGGACACATATAATAACAATCTCAGCCTCTAGGCAAGTCAGGTTGGAGGCAAATAAACCTTCATGAATATAGAGGAATCTCATTTTTCAGGGTGTGACAGGAGTGCGAACAGGAGGTTAAAGGTGATGAGCGCACGTGGAGGGGAACCTGCGCTGTTGAAGGTCCTCACAAGCAACAATAAAGCACAGAGAGATGCCAAAATCTTGTGGAGGACTCTGCATCAGACTTGAGGGAGGACTCGGTGAACTCAACGAGCACTTCCCACGCAGACCCGAGCCACCCTTCAGATCCCCCCAGGTGGTGCTTGCTGAGGAGACCTCGCCCACTCCAGGAGACGCTTGGGGCCCAAAAATCAGCCTCCTGTACTCAGGCAGGGGCCTCAGCGCACACTCCCAAAGGGGATCGACTCCACAGAACTTGGAGACACTCAGGCACCTGGAGACAGGAGACCAGTGGGCTCAGGTCAAGGTTAAAAGTGGGGTCGTTGTACACAAGCCACTTCCCTAGTTTTCAAGGTCATCTGGTCAACACACACAGCCTAGCACCATCCCCAGTCTCAGGGTTGACTTCCTACTTCCAGGTTACAAACAGAGAATGTGTTCGCCTGGAAGAGGCCACAACCCAAGATTCTGGAACCAGGTCTTCCTGGCCTCCACAGTCCAAGCTCTTTGCCCTGGACCACACTGTCACTCGACACTCTGAAGACGAGCTTCTAAACCCTTCAGCTAGTGCCCAGTGGCCCACTCTGAAGTCCCAGCTACCTGGGAGACTGAGGCAGGAGAATCACTGGAGCCCAAGAGGTCAAGGCCAGCCAGGCAGCACAGTGAGACCCTGTCCTAAAAACAACAATAATACACATACACACACACGCAAAACTTCCCAGAGGAGGCTGTTGCAGGTAGGGGTTTTCTTTGTTTCTATAAAGACATGATCATGAAAAGAAAACATCAACGTCATCATGAACACAACTACTGAAAGCAATAAATACATAATTTAAGCTGTGTGTACTGGCACATGCCTGTAATCCCAGAGACTCAGGAGGATGCAAGTTCAAGGCCAGCCTCAGCAACTGAGACCCTGTCCCAAAACAAAAAATAAAAAGGACTCAGTGGTAAAGTCCCCTGGGTTCCATCTCCAGTACCAAAACCACAAAAAGAAAGAATGAAATTTAATGGTATAAAACAATATATAATATTTTTAATTAAACCATCAGTTCTTTGGTTCCTCTGAGTAATTAGTTCAAGAAATCAAGTGTTGAACAAATGACAATCAAAATTCCTTGAACAGGATGTAAAAGAAACATACAAAAATAAACCAATTATTAAATAAAACTATGGCTGTTTTGTTTTAAAAAATTTTATTTTAAATTTATGTGTCATGTAAAATAAGGAAATACAATACAAATGTTCTATTTACCAGACTTTCTGGTAGAAGCTTAACATACATTCTGCAGCTTTTAACCTTGGGTAGCCAATTAAAAGGCGATTTTCAATAATTTTATTGCATGAAATCAATTTACTTTTGGAAAAATAAATATTTATAATTAAGCTACACAGACTTTCAACTCCAACTCTATAAAACCACTAAAAGTTTGTTCCCTGCTGTGATAAAGAAAAAAAGACTGAAATTTTTTTACTTCAAGAAAATCATATTAGCTTGGTGCTTTGCTTCTTCAAATGAATTAAATGACACAATTATATATGGGCTATTTGTTCACATATGAATTTACTTAGAAGCAACAATATGTAATTAAACATAATTCATGTAATTAAACATAATTCAATTAATAAACTGTTTCCGACCTTAAAAAAATAAAAATAAATCAACAAATAGGGAAAAGGGATTTGAATGGGTCATCTCATCTGTAATGACATCTCTGGGTGGTGGCCTATCAGTCAAGAGTCACTTCTTAAATGCATCCAAATACCCTGAGAGACATTTTATTGCTGGGAGTGCTAATTGAAATAGCACATAAAAAGGTAAAAGGTACCCATTAACAGGCAGCAGCTTAGTTATTGATGACATCATAAATTAACGACAATTCATTCACTCAACAAACAGTGCCAGGGATTTGCTAAGTGCTGGATACATAAAGATGACTCCTTCATGTAGTCCTCCTCTCAAAGCTTAGAGTGTGGTCAGAAGGCATTAAACCTAAGAAGACATTAAACAATCACATAATGGAGTGTGTGATGACAAAGTGAGATAGAGGCTACAAAGAAAGGGACACAATATAAAGCAAAAGATCTGATCTAGACTGGTAGTGGCAATCAGGGAGGACTTCCCTGTAAGGGAGGCTTTTCTGCTTAAGCAGAGATCTGCAAGACAAGGAGTCCAGGAAAGAACCAGAGGGGCAGGCTTCTGAGTATTTCATGGTGAAGGCCCTGCAGGTCAGGGGGCTAGGACAGAAGGTCAGCCACCCTGTCAAGGAAGCTGAGGGTAAGCCAGGGTGTCTGGAGCACAGGAATAGAGGAAGGCCTCTACATTACAGGGGTTCTGAACTAGGGTAGAGTCCTGGGAAGTAGTCTAATTTTGTTAGCACTATTTCATTCCATACTTTGTTTTCAATATAAACTTGAACTTGATGCCACACCTAGCTGAACAAAAGCATCCAATCTCAAAAGCATCAGTGCGTCTGCTCCAACACCACACCACCTATAAATTTCATTGCTGATATCACTTAACTAGTGCAAGGTCTATAAAGTCAACCACTGCTTCATGACAACCACCTCCAACTTTTTAACTGAGTTTTTAACTATGTTCAGGCACTTTTCTAAGCTCTCTACTTACATTAACTCATTTAATCTTCAATTCCTGACAGAATGTCTTATTATCGTTCAGACCAGGATACTGAGGCTCAAAAGTAACCTCTAGGCACAACCACACTGCTAGTAAGCGTTGAACTGTCAGCCCCAACACTTAGTTTTGCCTGAAACAGACTTTGCATCCGTGCCTACACGTGGCGAGTGTGTCAGAGACGGTGGCAGTTCATACACCGGATCATGTTATACGTCTAGCCACCTCTGTATTCCCTGCCTGGGGGATGAATGGGGCTCAGCAAATATCTGCCCAACTGAGGATGGACAGAAGTGGCTGGCGAAGGATGTGAACCCGAGGTAAAGTGACTTCCTGAGGCTGTCCCTTCACGGCAGGGACTCACCGCACTTTCCCTGTCTCTTATTGTCAAACTGCAGATGTTCTGCATTACCCGGCCACAGTCACAGTCTCTGGCTGGGGTAGAGGGGGATCACAGGACAACGACCTAGCTCCAATCACCTTCCAGCCAGGCCTGGCCAGCGGCCCCCCGAGGTCCCCCAGCTCCTGTGGCTGGCGACCCACCGGGCGCCTCCATTGGAACACGGCACCCTCACGGTGCAAGCTGAGCCAGTGCCCCGGGCCTCCAGCTCCTCCTCCGTGTCCCTTTGGGGTGTTTTCGTCTAACTGTCCTCCCACCCGACCGGCGGTCCTGCGGGTGGCGCCCAGAACTTCGCTGCCCGCTATCCCGAGCCCGCGGAGCCCGGCGCCCCGCACTCGCCGCCCCAGCCCCACGCGCCCCACTCCGGGCGGCTGGGGACAACACGGCCACTCTGCAGCCCTCGAGCCCCGCAAACCAACCTGGGAAGGGCGGTGGGGTCCGGCCGGTCAAGCGCGCCCATTCTCCCCGCTGGACCGACCACCAAACTGAGCCTCGGACAGCGGACTCGCCCAGGGCAGGGCCGACAGCCCGCGCAGGAGCCCCGACAGGTGTCCGGGTTCGGAAACGCTGTCCCCACGAGGCCGCGCCGTGGACTCAAAACGCTTCATCACCTTTACTACTATTGTTCCCGGCCACCCGCGAGCGACGCGTTCCGGGCCCGGGGACGCTGCACTCCCGGCCCCGCCCCGCCCCGGCCGCGCCCCCAGGCGCCCCGCCCCCGGCCCCGCCCCCGCCGCCCGGGCCTCACGCCGCGCCCCGGCCTCTGCTCCCGCCCTGCCAGGGCGCCCGCGCCCCCCGGGGGAACGCCCTCTCCTGCCAGAACCAATCATCAGAGCCTCGGGGGGGCGGCGCCGCAGGCCCCGGCCCTCCTATCGGAGCACCCATTGGTCAACCCCGCTGTCACTCAGGAGGTCGCGGCCCGCACCCGCCTTCCTCCTGTTCCTCCACCCTCCCGTTCATAAAAAACGGCGGTTGGGCCGAGGCGACCGCCAACTGCAGGCGGGAAGCGGAGGGGCGAAGAGCCGGGGAGCGAGGGAAGGAGGGACTGCAGGGAGGAGGAGGAGAGATGGAGGACGAGGAGGAGGAGGGGAGCCCGGCCCAGCCGGAGCTGTCTCCATCGGGAACAAAATGGCGGCGCTGGCGGAGGGCCAACTGTGAGGCGGGGCCGCGGCCATTCCCCCTCCGCCCCCACCCTCGCGCCGGCCGGGCCGGTCAGGGGGAGCCCGCTCGCTCCGCTCGGCCGCGGGCGGGGAAGGGAGGGGAGCGGCCCGGCCCACTATGCAAAGCGGCGGGCGCCGCCGCCGCCACCGCCCCGTGGCAAAGGTAAAAGGGTCGAGTTCAGCAGCAGCCGCCGCCGCGGCGCCTCCATGTCCGCGCGCCAGGCCCGCCCCCTCCGCCGCCGGCCCGAGCCCGCCCCGACCCTCCTTTCAGTTTTACCTCAGGATTGGGCGCCAAAGCGGCCTCGAAGCAGGTCCCGTGTCTGCGGCGGGCGGCCCCCGGCGCGGAGGGCAGGGCGCGGGGAGGCCCGGCTCCCGGCGTCGGCGGATGGCGGGAGCCCGGGGGCCGCGGGCTCGCGGGGCGGCAGGCGGGAGAGACGAGACGCCGCGGTGGGAGCGGGGGCGGCGGGGGCGGGCCCGAGGGCGCCGCCGGGGTCGCGGGGAAGGGGGGGTTTGTTATTGTTTTTGTCAGTGAAAGGTCAGAGTTCGTGACCCCGGTGCCGCCGCCGCCGCCGCCCGCGCGCTGGTAGGAGGAGGGCGAATGTTCTTCTTCCTCTTCCCAGCGCCAGCCTCGCCGCGGCGGCGGGGGGCGGGCGAGCACGCGATTGGCTGAGGCGCGCGCGCGCACCGGAACGCCGCGGCCGGCGCCCGGTCCATCCGGCCCGCGAGCTGCGGGCCCCGGCGGCTCCTCCTGGGCTCGGCGGCGACGGGCGCCCGGGGAGCCTGCCGCTCGGACCGCGCGGCCGCCCGGGGTCCCGGGCCGGTCAGGGGAGGAGCCCGCGGCCGCCGCGCGCCGTTAGTCGGCCGGGCGAGGACCGCGCTCCCTGGCATCGCCGCCCCCGGCGCCCCGCGGGGCTCGCGGGTGGCCCTGGTGGGAGCCGCGGGGCCCCGAGTGGCGCGGCCGGCGGGAGGGGCGTCCCGGGTGGGCGCCGCGCTCTGGGCCTCGCTCGGTGCCGGTGTCTTTTGTGGGGATTTAAAGGTGCAGGCCGCGCCGTGATGCCCGAGCCACGCCTCGTGGGCAACGCCCCACACCTGGGTGGGTTTTGTGTCTTTTTTTTTTCTTTTCTTGTTTTTTTAAAGCGAACCTCGCGGCCGAGCCTGCGCAGTCCGTGCCCCGCCCCTCCCCTCCGCGATCGGGACCCAGGAAAGGGGGATGGTGTGTGCAAAGCCGCTTTGAGCACGGCGGCGACGCTGCCCAAGGAAAACGTCGCGATCTGCCGCCTCTCGGGTCGTGGGGCTTGGGTTTGGGCTTGGCTCTTGTAGGTCACAGCTTTGACTGGCTTGGGAAGTCGCAGGCACTTGTCCCCCATGTCCCCGAGTGTCCAGTCTCCCCTTGCCTTGATCGCCATGCTTCTGCAGGTCCTGATGGATTTCCTTCCCTTTTCTTATTAGGAATAAATACTCCAAGATGATTGTTCTTAAACAGTACCTCTCTCGACTTTATCAGGGTGATTCCTACTTTGATTTTGTCCGTAATCTTAAAATACTTTATTTAAAATATTTCTATCTTAAAATATTTCTATTTGGTAGGAGGTGTTTTCAACACACCTGTTTTCCTTTCCACTCTGTTGTCACCTTGCAAGGTGCAGGAAAGAGCTGTATCCCTTTTTTTTTTTTTTTTAAGAGAGGATTTTTTAATATTTATTTTTCAGTTTTCGGTGGACACAACATCTTTATTTTACTTTTATGTGGTGCTGAGGATCGAACCCAGCGCCCCGCGCATGCCAGGCGAGCGCGCTACCGCTTGAGCCACATCCCCAGCCCAAGAACTATATTCCTAATATCAAGGTGACCCTCACACCCTGGAACTGGAAGGGGCCTGGAGAGAATCCGGTGAAATCCTCTCTGGCAGGGAGATTTTTCCTATTTTATAAGAGAAGTGGGTGAGAACCCAAAAGGGCAAAAGGTGTACCTAAGGTAACACAATATTTGGATGGTAAGTCCTTGTAGACATGGACTGCTTTGTGCACTTTTTCCAAAAATAAAAATTTACTGCTAAGTAGGCCTAGAGATGTGTGAAAATCCATATCAGGTTATCAGAGGAACCTAAGGTGTTTTTGTTTTTTTTAACCTAAACAGTAATGAATGTTTTGATGATGACTTCTGATTTTCTAATCCTTTCACTTCATACTCTGAAGCTCTCTGAATGAAGCACTGTGTATAAACATGCATTCTCCTGAGGTGCAGGAACTTGTAAGAGAGGTTCCATGACCTGCCCAGGGTTGCAGATGCCTCAGTAAAGCCAGGGCCCTGGTGTACCCTTATGGTGTTAAATTTTATGTAATGAATCATCTCACCTGATTGCCACATTTGCAGTAGCGTTCAGGTAGGGCTCATAACCCTTGATTGACTTGGCCATCTTTCCTTGTAGACAGATGCGGGTGATTGACTTTGATTGGCTTGGCCATCTTTCCTTGTAGACAGATGTGCGTGTGCACGCACCCACGGGCTGTGTGCTCCCTTAGGGCTGCACTGCTCTAATGCTTTAATTGGCTTTATAATTCTTAATAGGCTTTGTAGGCACACAAAAAAATGCACGTTGTATTGTGCTGGCTGTACTTGCCTTCTCCTGAGCTCATTAGAAGCATCTGCATTTCCAGTACTTTTAACATTGCTTGACCAGCCTTTAAGGGATTCTTGACTGGGTGCCCTTCTGAATTGCCAGGTCCCGGGGTTCTGAAGCAGGGCCTGGCTTCAGCACTTCGCTGAGCATCACGGGTAATTCTGTGCTCTCCAGGCCTGTACCGCTGATTTCATTGCACACATGCGTGACAAAACAAACCGCCACCCAGAGATTGTTTATTTACAGGGACAGGAGCTGGGGGCGGGGGGGTGATCATGCATCTAGCTGCACCTGCCCACACCGTGAGCCCTGGATGGGGATGTGCTGTGTCCCTTCTGTCCCTGCCCTCACGTAGTACCTGGTGCAGAGTGGTAAGGAGTGGCTATGAGTGCTTTTCCTAGCAGCAGTGTGTGACAAACCGACAATATTTACATTGTCCCCGTATTTACAGAGGAACTGCAAAAAACAGGTTCTTGAGCTGGAATGTGAGCCTGGGACTTCTGGCTCCTTGAACAGAGCTCTGTGGGTGACACTCATCTGCCCCAGCTGTCCCCAGGGCAGGTCTCTTTCAGTCTGTTCCATGATCAATAATTGATTGGTTTTTCCCTGTGAACTTGAGAGCAGGAACTATCACAGTTTCATTTTTGTACCTAGCTCAGTAAACATGCCTCTTTGCCATCCAACATTATTCTGCATTTAAATTTAAATGATATATATTGACTCATTGACAATCAAATTTTAATTAAGCTGCTGGGGATGTGGCTAGCCTGGCATGCATGAGGCACTGGGTTCTGTCCTCAGCACCACATAAAAATAAAGATGTTGTGTCCACCGAAAAACTAAAAAATAAATATTAAAAAAAATTCTCTCTTAAAAAAATTTAATTAAATAGTTGTAGATGCATAAAAATTCGCAAATTTTTGAGCAGAGATCTGATGTTAAGAAAAGAATAAATGGTGCTTTCCCTTTCTTGTAAAATAAATTAATTGCTGACTTTTGTATCCTGGATGGGGAAGGCTTAATCATTGCCTTCATAAGGACTTTATCACATCTCCTGTAATAGTTTATGCTTTCTTATCTATGGTAACCATTTTCTCAGATTTCTGTTGGGATTGCTTATATAATTATTTCCCACTTGTGAAATAAACGTTCAAACCTTACACAGTTGTTGTCAACCCTTTGATTTTTTTCTTGAGACTGTGGAATGGGGGCAGGCGGAAGCTCGGGTCCCGGATTGCACATTCCTGACACTTACCCATGATCCCGTTTAATCTTGCTGTAATCTCATGAAGTAGACGGCATTATCCTGTTTTTACAGCTGAAGAGGCTGAGGCCTAAGCAGGAGGGTGACTGACACGAAGTCATGTGCTCAGCAAGCAGCGGAATATTTATTAATAGTCATTTCTGTCCTCCAGGACTCTGAGGAAGAAAGCCCTGTTCTGCCCACGTCCGTGTTTCTGTTCAAGTCAGTCCCATCAGGCAACTTGCAGAGGGCTCAGACTCACGTCCCTGGGGTGGCCAGGTGGCTCTGGAGCACAGGGACCTGGCAGGAGTGCATTCCCTATTCCTGTCCTGAGTTGCCTTCACTGAGACTCAGGCCCCTTTAAGCTGATGTGGCTTCCTGCACCTGGAAGAGGTGTTCCTTGCAGTTGCCCTGGGCAGGGTCATCCTGGTCTGTTGGAGGAGGCCTCCATCTTATGGGTCTGATGGTGACTTCAGATTGTATTTTCAGCAAGATGCATCTGCACTTGGCCCTGTTTTTAGAACACGGGTGGTTCTGAAGGATGCTCCTCCTTGTTTTGAAATGTTGTGTAACCAGGAACTCAATCTTGAGGGCTGGCAGGTGGGGGGAAGCGTTCCCCTGGTGAGCACGTGGACGCCAGCTGTCCTGTTTTCTGTGAAGTGTCTTGTCCCCCTCCTCTCAGCCAGGCCTGCATCTGAGTCCCCAGCCTCTTGTAGTTTTTCTTTCCAGAGAATTAACCCCGCTTCCTGCAAGGTGGAGGGTGGGCAGTCCCTAATCTGGAGGTGAAGTGCTGGCTATCTCAGTCTCATGACTCTTTCCTTCTGCCTTCGGTCCCATCCTGGTCTTCCAGGACAACTGTGCCTCATTTGGAGCCTCTTCAAAAGCAGGGCCCCTTGTGCATCTTGTTGGGGTGATGGGTGCTTAACCGCTGAGCCACATTCCCCAGAACTTTTCTGTTAGGGTCTCGCTGAGTTGCTTAGGGCCTTGCTAAGTTGGTGAGGCTGGCCTCCATCTTGCAATTCTCCTGCCTGAGCCTCCCGAGTTGCTGGGATTACAGGTGTCCGTCACAGCACCCAGCAAGAAAAGAAAATCACTTTTAAACCAATTTCCATCTTGCAGTTCTAGGAGCTGAGTTAGGTAAGTCTCAGGGCCCTCATGGTCGCAGTGACAGTGGCTGGAACTGGAGTCATGGGCAAGACTCCCTTCTAAGTCTGGGAACACCTGCCTGCCTATACAGGGCCTCTCCAAGTGGACTGGGCTTCTCCACAGCGCAGCAGCTGCATGCCAGAGTAAGGAGGCCGAGGCGGGAGGATCACAAGTTTGAGGCCCATCTGGACCACTTAGTGAAGCCCTTTTCATCTCCAAAAATAAAAAGGGATGCGGATGTAGCTTTGTGATAGAGGGCTTGCCTCACATGTGCAAGGCCCTGGGTTCAACCCTTAGTACCACAAAAATAAAAGAAGACCTGGGATTTAGCTCAGTGGTAAAGTTCCCAAGGTCAACCAAAAAAAAGTGTCACAAGAAAACAAAGTGGGCCAGTGTGGTGGCTCACACCTGTAATCCCAGCGGGTCAGGAGGCTGAGGCAGGAGGATGCAGACTTTAGAGCCAGCCTCAGCAATTTAGCAACTCAGGGAGACCCTGTCTCTAAATAAAATACAAAATAGGGCTGGGGATGGGGCTCCGTGGTTGAGCGCCCCTGGGTTCAATCCCTGGCACCAAAAAAAAAGAAAAAGA